CAACTTGTCTGTTCCCCTTCCCCCAACTCCCCAGCACTGTTCCCATCCCCCCAATTCCCCAATAAAAAATTAAAAAAAAAAAAGAAAGAAAGAGCAAGAGATGGGGAGTAAAATCTGTATTTGTGTCCTACCTCTTCACCTACCAGCTTGTGCCCTTGGGGTATTTCATTGCACGCCAGGATTGTCCTTTCACTTTGGGAAATGGCATGTTTATATCGACAAGCAGGATTGTTGTGAGGGTTAAATGAAATAAATGAAGGGAACAAAGTTTCTTTTGATAGCACCTTACAGTGATTACAAGCATTTCACAAAATGTTTTGCAGATCACACCTCATCTAATTCTCAGAATACATGCGAAAACCAATATTAGTAGCCTCAAGTTAACCGTGAACATCACAATGGAGCATTCCCCTCCCGCCACCTGCAGCCCCCGCACCGGGCCGCACGGAGCACCTTCTCCTGACCAGGACTCAGCCCCACCTGCGCCGCCGGCTCCGCCAGGGCCGACCCCGCGCGCACACAGGGACGGGGGAGGGGAGGGCCCGTCTGGAGGTCCCCAGGACTTACCCCTCTCGTGATCCAGACACCAGTCTACCTGACCTGCAGGTTCCCAGTGCTCGCACCCTGGTTCCGGGGCCTCTGCTCCTGCAAAGACCCACCGACTACGAGACCTTGTCCCTCTCAGTGTGGACAGGGCCGCCTGGAGGAGGCGGGACTAGTGTGCACATGCGCAGAGTGAGACACATTTCCAGAGGGCTGCGCGATAAGCCCACACTTTGAAGACTACGTTTCCCATGAAACTTTGAAACCGCAGGAAGTAATTTTTGCTGCGTTTCGTTGTATTAGTCAGTTGGCGGACTTGACAATTGGACGTGACCCTTGGAGGCTTTAATTGGGTCCCCAGATGGTTTAGACTTTAAGTTGAGGCCCTAACCACACATTGCAAAGCGTGGTTCTCGATCAGATCCTGGTTGGAAAAACAACAGCAGTTTTGGGAAAGAGGTAGGAGGGCATTTTCCAGGCTCTCGGCCTCACGTGGAAAAGTGCTGGTTAGCTTCTTAGATGGCCATCAGCTGTAACCAGTTGGCTATTAGCTATATTGTTTTGCATATAACTGCTGCTGCGTTAGCAAGCAAGGAAGGGTGTCTGGGATGGTGCAGATCCTGCCGATTTTATTTCCTGTATCTCACCCAGCCACCCGCGAGTCTGTGGTGCCGGAAGACCCCTTATTGGGGTATTGATGGATGTTTGCTTCTCCTGTCTCGACCAGCCTCATGGAGATTATAATATAGTGGTATGAACCCCCTGTGTTTGGCTCTGTTGTTCCTTTTTGGCCTCACCAAATCCTGCGTTCTTCTGCCAGGAGCTGAGCCCCAGCATGAGAGCAGCAAGAGACAATTGGGGAAACATGAATATGGACTAGATATTAGAAATATTAAGGAAAATTAACCATTACCTTGGAATGTGCGATAATATTTGCACGATGTAGGAAATTGTTATTTTTAAATATATATATATATATATATATATATACTGATATGTTTACAAATATGACGTGTTTGTAATGTACTTTTTTAAATTAAGCAAATTAATTAGGGAAAGCAAATATGGCAACAGGTTAAGAACCATAAAATCTACGTAATATGTGTATATGATGCTTATTTTAGTATTTCTACTATTCGGAGTGTTTGAATTTCTTTTTAATACACAGGAAAACACTTGGGATGTGGAGGGATGGAGAGAAGTTAGGGAGTTTAATGCCCCTTCAGAAATGTACCTTTTAAAATCAAGCTCCCAAGAGAGGTACACACAACTAGCTGTTTCACAGCTGTGAAATAGAACAGAAATTACAAAATGGAGCCAGTATTAACATAAAAGAGTAACTAACATCTGTGACCAGCAGAGTGGTGGTGGGGAGGCAATAATCTAGCTGTTCAAATGACACAAGTAATATATGAAAACACAACCCCAAATAATAAAATTATTGTATCAATTTTGCATTTCTATAGGTAAACCTTTCTTGAAACTTAATGTGTACACACATCAAATTAGGGATATATGGACACAGTAACATAATTTTTCTCTCTAGTAGACTTTTTCAGAGCAGATTTAAGTTTCAGAATAATTGAGCAGAAAGCAGAAAGAGTTCCCATATACCTCCTCTCATCACCCCACACACAGTTCTGCTGTTACTATCACCTTACGTTAGTGTGGTATGTTTTGTACAATTAAGGAATGATATGTTATTACTAATTAAAGTCCAAAGTAGTTTACATTAGCAGTCACTCTCTGTGCTGTACAGTTGTATGGGTTTTACCTAATGCATAATGTCATCTAGCGTAATGTCCAGCATTCCATCATCATACAGAGTAGTTTCACTGCCTCAAAAGTCTCCTATGCTCTGTCTGTTCAACCTCTGCCCTCTTGCTTTCCCATCCTGAACTCCTGGTAGCCACTCATCTTTTTACTGACTCAATAATTTTACCATTTCCAGAATGTCACAAAGGTAGAATTATATAGTAAATAGCCTTTTAGACTGGCTTCTTTCACTTAAAATATGCATTTAATTTTTTTCATGCCTTTTTATGGCTTGATAGCTCATTTTTTAAATCCATGGATAATATTCCATTATACGGATGTACACAGTTTGTTTAGTCTTCATTTATTGAAGGACACTTTGTTGCTTCCAAGTGTTTGCAACAGTGAATGCAACTATAAACATTCTCTGCAGGCTTTTGTGTAAACAAAAAAGTTTTCAAATCAATTGAGTAAATACCAAGGAGTACAATCACTATATTGTAGAGATTAGTTTTAAGTTTATTAGACACTGCCACACTGTCTTCCAAAAGTGAATGTATCATTTTGCATTCTCACCAGCATTGGAAAGAGAGTTCTTTCTACTCCATATCCTCTCCAGCATTAAGTGTTGCCAATGTTTTGGGTTTCACCCATTCTAATATGTGTGTACTGGTATCACATAATTTGCAATTCTCCAATGACATCCGCTGCTGGGCTTCTTTTTATGGGCCTATTTGCCATAAGTATATCTTCTTTTGTGAGGTGTCTGTTCAGCTCTTTCAACCATTGTTTACTGGGTTGTTCATTTTCTTATTGTTGAGTTTGAAGAGTGATTTATATATTTTGGATAAAATTTCCTTTAGCAGATGTGTCTTTTACCAATATTTTGTCTCAGTCTGTGATTTCTCTTTTCGTTCTCCTGAAATTCTTCCACAGGGCAAAAGTTTTGAATTTTAATGAAGTCAAACTGATCAGTTTGTTCATTCATGTGTTACACTTTTGATGTTATCTAAAAACTCATTGCCAAACTCAAGATCACATAGGTTTTCTTCTGTGTTATCTTCTACAAGTTTCATACTTTTTGTATTTCATTTCTAAGATAATTATGATGCATTTCGAGTTAATATTTGTGAAAGTGTAAGGTCTGTGTTTTCTGTTTATTATTTTTCTTTAATATTTTTAACTCAAGAAAATGCCTTAAACTACCATCAAATATTTCCATTTCTCAGCAAAATATAAATGCTATGTCTATCTTGCAAATATTTCACACCTATATCATGATTTTTCATTCCCATGTATTTCTATTTCTATTGGAATTGTAATAACATCCAAAATAGCCACACACTCTTTGCTTACTATATCATATGAAAATATATTTGTACATCCACTTTTAACTGATATAATTTTAGAACTAATATTTTTTGTCTAGGTCAAAGTAATATAGTTGTTTAAAATTCTGGTATCATCACAGACCATTTAAAGGCTCAGGGTAATAAAGGAAAAATGCTTTGTATTTTATGTTAATTTTATGGCTGCCATGGGACATTTAAAATTTAATTTTCTTTTTTAACTGTAAATCCTTTTGTACAGTTTTAGTGAGATATAATGGCATATAATACTGTGTAAATTTAAAATGTACAATGTGGTAACTTGATACACATATATATTATGAAATTATTACCACTATACAGTTAGTGTACACATCAATGACGTCACATAGTTATTGTTTTATGTTTGTGTGGTGAGAACATTTACAATCTAATAAATTTCAATATTGAAAATAATCAAATGTCTGCTTATTTTTATTCACAGAGTAATCTTTAATCATAATTTTTTTCATTCTTTTCATCATGTGCTACGTTCTCATATTCTGGTTGGTTTATTCACTTTGAGGAGTTGTTAAGATATTAATGTCAAAGGATAATTCTTAGATGATATTTGATAAAATTGCTTTATATAAAAAAAATTAGACAAGTTAGTGTGAATTTCCCATAGAATGCTCTGTCCAATCTTATAACACTGTGGAAATATGCCCAAACACAGATATACACACTCAAGGAGATTTAGCATACTTTCTAGAGCAATGAGAATACCTGATACATTTTCACTTTATACACTTAACAAGTTCTAAATACATCTGGATTGTAACTTCATTTCCCATTTTAAACCCATATACATTCTTTACTTCTTTCACTTTACAACTTTCCATATTCCTCACTCCAGATGTTATTGTATGGTCTATGAATACTAACTTTTGTTCTTATCATTCCCAGTGAATGGAGCTGTCCTCTCACTGTGTTTTGTTTTGAAAGACCAATCCTCAGGTATCTAGAAACACAGGAAAGCAGATTTCTGACATGCTGTGCAATACTTTTGTAATGCCTGTGTCTACTTCTTCAGGCTGTCATGACAACAGCTCTGACTCTTATGTAAAATTCACCTGGGGGGATTTCAATGTACCCTCATCTCCATTGGAAAGAAGGCAATGGATCTCATCTTAGTACAGCAGAGGGTTTGGGGCCTATCAATGACCTCCAGATAGACTCCTTGGGCATCACAGACAGGTAACGCCTATCTCATGTCTTTATTATGGCATGCTTCTCAACTTTTGATAGTAGACAAAAATAAAAGATACACAGCCTATCTTTCTATTTCCATTTTATTCCCTCTCCTCTCTTTTTCTGCTCTCTCTACCACAGACAATGAAAGATTTATTAAATACTTAGGTTTACATTAAATCCAGAAAATTGCTTCTCTAAATTCTTTTCAGCTTTCCCCAATGGTTATACTTTGATTTTAGTACAATATCAATGCCAGGAAACTGTGTTCAGTACATGGGTAGTACTATTGGGAGTTCTATTTAGCCTCCCAATCTGTACAAATGCGATCCAGGACGCAAGAGCAACAATAACTGCCGTCTATCTTACCCCTTTGGTGCAGTCCTGAGTCCCGCCAGTCCCCTGGCCCTTCAGCCTTTTTTATCCTTTTTTCAGAAGGAAGAGGTGGGGGAGTGAGAAATAATTCAACCCCTCTTTTGTAAGTGTGTGAATGAATTTCCAGTATGCTAAACACCTCAGTCTTCCAACGGAATTTGAACACGTAGAAAAGAGGCACTTTTAGGACACTGAAATCTTGCAGCATGAAAACCCACCTGGACATTGCCACCATGTGTCCTGGCTGTCGAGGTACCCAGCAGGTGTTCCTGCAGACAGGCTGCTTGTCAAGAGTACGTGCTTCATAGA